AATTCGAGGCAAAGGTGACTACCCAACTATGGATGACGTACTGAGTGATTGGGATTCAGAGAAGGACGGTAAAAAGGTAACTCCTTAAGCGCTACCCTCTTAAGTATGACAAGTCATCGAAAACAGATAATTCGGACACTATCAAAGAAACTATTCAAAGATATACATAAGGAGCCTAACGATATCAGTGACACACATCGGTCTACTGTTGATATTTTAAGATAAATTCATTACTGATGAATTGGAGCCATGGTGCTCATATATGAACTGTTTGGATGATATTCATCCGATAATAAGTCGCGAACGCATTCAAGGATAAAACAAAACTGAGTGAAGATCAAGGTGAACTCTCAAAAGCAACAACAAATCTTGAAGAGCCGGATGAAAATAAGGAGACAGGTGCATCGAAGATGACAGGCGCTGAAACAGATGGTGAAAGAATCACGGCGGCATCGACTGATAAAAAAGGTACCGAGGAAAAGCATGAAAATGAGGAAAACGACGGGGATAAGAAGGACAAGGAAGGGAAAGATGTGGACAAAAAAGGAAAGGAAACCAAGGAAGGAGATAAAGAAAAGAAAGTTGATAGCAAGAAGGAAGGCGCAAAGGATAAGAGTAAAGATGACCGCAAAAATGATAAGGATAAAAAGGAATCAAAGAGAGGAACTGATAAAGGAAAGGAAGGCGTCGACGATACGAAGCAAATGACAAAAAAATGCTCGACAAATGAAAAAGTTGCTCCATCGGCGACTGCAATTGAAAAAGATGATGAAAATAAACGAAAAAGTGATAAAAACAAGATGATACCATCAGAAAATCATCCCGCTGATAATGACAACAGTAAAAGTGGTGAAAATTGGCAGAAAAACCTCGATGTTACAGAGAAAGGAACAAATGTTAGCGTTGTATACTTGAATGGCTTCGTAGTACATAAGAAGGAGCAACTTACATGAACTGCATTTTCGATGATACAGTATAAGAATCATGAATATGATCTAATTCTTTCATTCCAATTAGGTTAATAAATATCATCTGCAAATAGGACATTGATAAAAACGGAACACTTGAGATTAGAACTAAATGATACGAAACGATCTGAACAACCTAATCAACATGGGTTTACTAAACGAAGAAACGGATCCGCTAATAGTTTACAGAATGGAATATTGAGTCAAAAAGGTGGTTATATGTAGTGATGTCTCTATACCACTTTTTTGAAAACTGTACTATTCTGTTCTTTTGGGCTCCAAAACGGCTCTATTCTATTCCAAATTGTTCCTCCCTCATTTGCGAACTGTTCTGCTATATTCCTTGGAAGAGTACATGAACAGAACAGGTATAAAACAGTTTAACTGGAACAGAGACATCACCAGTAATATATGAAAATTTCAGGAAAATGACTAAAACGATGGAATCGAGCGAATCAGTGATTTCAGTTGTGTTCATCAACATATTTTTATCAATCGTTCAACTATACAGTCATTCAATTCCTAATGAATGTTCAAATCGTCTGATTACCACAAAACAACAAAATAAATTCCAATGAAATTGTTGAAAATGTTCAATGCTTATGAGATATATATATATAAAATAAACAATGATAAAACAAACGCAAAAAGCAACGTAGGCCTTAAACCAGCCACAAAGCAGTTTTCATTCTACGGAACACCCTGATGTGGTGCCGGGCAAAGCTGAGGGTACGGTAGGTTTGAATGTGCCAACCCCTATAGCATCAGAAAAATAGCTATATCTCCTCAACTGAGCAATATCGCCCAACAAAATATTTCTCCTCGCAGAGGCGGAATTTTTCAGTGAGCTTTCCATCTTTAGAAATTCCTCGCAGAGGCGGAATTTTCCAGTGAGCTTTTCAATTTTAGAAAGCAGCTAGAAAAGGCGAAATTTTGCAGTGAGATTTCATTTTTAAAAAGCAGAGATTCTGCTCAATTTTTGAATGTGCCAACCCCTATAGCATCAGAAAAATAGCTATATCTCCCGCTAGGCACGAGGAATTTTCCAATGATCTTTTCATTTTTAGAAAGCAGAGATTCTGCTCAATCAAATGATG